TTGGGGTGATTTTGAGGCAGTTTTGGGGCAGTTTTAGGAGCAGGCCCAGGGCAGTTTTTTGGGCAGATTTTGACTGGTTTTGAGCAGTTTTTGGCCGTTTTTGGGGCCGTTTGTTTTGGAGTGTTTTTGGGGTGACTCGGGGCGGTTTTGGGGTCTCTCACCCCCGGGGTCTATCCTGAACGTGTCGGGGTTGATGAGGTCCATGGGGCAGTTTTTGGGTGGTTTTGGGGCAGTTTTGGGGCTGTTTTTGAGCAGTTTTTGAGCCGTTTTTGGCCGTTTTTGGGGCAGTTTGTTTCGGGGTGATTTTGAGGTGATTTGGGGCAGTTTTGGGCTCACCCCCGGGGTCTATCCTGTAGGTATCCGGGTTGATGAGGTCCATGGGGCAGTTTTAGGGTGGTTTTGGAGCAGTTTTTGTGCTGTTTGGGGCTGTTTTAGGCCGTTTTTGGGCCGGTTTTAGGCAGTTTTGGGGCAGTTTGTTTTGGGGTGATTCGGGGCGGTTTTGGGGCAGTTTTGGGCTCACCCCCGGGGTCTATCCTGTAGGTATCCGGGTTGATGAGGTCGATGGGGCAGTTTTTGGGCTGTTTTAGGGTGGTTTTGAGGCAGTTTTGGGGCTGTTTTTGGGCAGTTTTTGGCCGTTTTTAGGCAGTTTTGGGGCCGTTTGTTTCGGGGTGGTTTTGGGGTGATTTGGGGCGGTTTTGGGCTCACCCCCGGGGTCTATCCTGTAGGTATCCGGGTTGATGAGGTCGATGGTGACCCCCAGGTCAGGCTCTGTCAGCAGGTCGTGCTTGTGCTGCTTCTCCAGGGACGTGGCCTTGTACTGCACGAACCTGGGAGCCCAAAACGGAGCAAAATGGCCCAAAATCACCCCAAATCCACCCCAAAATCAGACCCAAAACCTGGCCCAAAAACACACCAAAATCACCCCAAAATCAGACCCAAACCCACCCAAAATCAGCCCCAAACTCACCAGCAGTCCTGGGACCCCCCCAGGACCCCCAGAATCCCCCCGGGACCCCCTCCAGACGCCTCCAAACCCCCCAAATCCCCCAGATTTCCCCTCCAGGACCTCCCAGGACCCCCAGAATCCACTCAAAATCCCCCCAGGACCCCCCAAAATGCCCTGGAGACCCCCCCAGGACCCCCTGGGACCCAGTAACCCCCCAGTAACCCCCCAGTAACCCCCAGTAACCCCCCAGTTTGATCCCAGCCCCCCCCAGTGCCCCCAGTGCTCCCAGTATAACCAGTGCCCGCAGGAAGAGCGCTGACGGGGCCCTGCAGCGCTTCGACAAGAGCCTGGAGGAGTTCTACGCCCTGTGCGACCAGCTGGAGCTGTGCCTGGTGAGAAAATACCCCAAAATATCCCAAAAATATCGCAAAAACAGCCAAAAAATACCCAAAAACCCCCTGTGCGAGCAGCTGGAGCTGTGCCTGGTGAGAAAATATCCAAAAATATCCCAAAAATATCGTCAAAAACTGCCCAAAAATATCCCAAAAACAGCCCCAAAATCCCTAAAAATAACCCCCCAAGCCCCTTCAAATTCACCCCAAATCTCCTCTCAACCCCCCAAATCACCCCCAAACCCCCTCTAACCACCCCAAATCCCCTTTTTTTCCCCTCAGAGGCTGGCCCACGAGTGCCTGGCGCAGAGCTTCGACAGCGCCAAGCACGCCCCCGCGCTGGTGCCCGCGGCCCCCAAGGGCGAGGGGGGTCCCGGGGGGGGCTCGGAGAGCCTGCCCTACACCCAGTACCTGCCCCTGATCAAGGCGCAGATCGCCGGCGCCAAGGACATCCACAACGCCCTGCTGGAGGGCACCAACAAGATCACGGGCAAGCTGCCGCCCCCGGGGGGGCCCTGACCCCCTCTGGGGGTCCTGACGGGATTTTGGGGGGTCCTGAGTGGATTCAGGGGGGTCCTGAGTGGATTCAGGGGGGTCCCGGCTGGGTTTTGAGGGGTTTGGGGTGGGTCTGGTGGGGTTTGGAGTGGCCCTGGTGGCATTTCAGGGCTCCTGATCAGACTTTGGGGGGTCCTGGCTGGATTTTGGGGGCTCTGATGGAATTTTGGGGTGTCCTGAGTGGATTTCGGGGGTCCTGATCTGATTTTGGGGGTCCGGATCAGATTTTGGAGGGTCCCGATCAGATTTTGGGGACCCTGATGGGATTTTGGGGGGTCCTGGATGTATTTGGGAGGTCCTGATCTGATTTTGGGGGTCCTGAGTGGATTTTGGGGGGTCCTGGTGGGGTTTGGGGGGTCCCGATCAGATTTTGGGGGGTCCTGGTGGGGTTTGGGGGGTCCCGATCAGATTTTGGGGGGCTTTGATGGGATTTTGGGGCCCCGGACCCCTGGGACCCCCCCAGAGCGGTGCTGAGGGGGGGGTTGGGCTGTTTTTGGGGGTTCTGGAGGCCCCCCCCAATCCGGGTCCAGTGGTTTTAGGGTCAAACGTTGGATTTTTGGTAAATAAAGCCGAGTTTTGTTTTGTGACAGCGGCTCTTGGGCTTTTCCGCGCGTGACGTTACGGGGATGGGTGGCGGGGAACGCGGGAAAGGGTTTTTCGCCGTGACGTCACGCTGGTGACGTCACATATCCAAATAAGGAAAAATAAAACGAAACCGAAAAAAAAATAAAATCGAAAAACAGTCCCGGCGTCTTTTGGGCCTCTGGCGCCGCCGTCGGGAGGCCGCGGAGTCTCGCGAGAGGGAGGGCGGGAAGTCTCGCGAGAGCGGCGGGCGTGAGGGACGCGGAGCGGCCGCGGGGCCGGGCCGGGAACCGGGACCGGAACCGGGACAGGAACGGGACAGGAGCCGGGACAGGGGCCGGGAACCGCCGCAGGAGCCGGGCCCGGAGCGGAGAGCCGCGGGTGAGCGGGAGGGAGGCGGCGGCGGCGGCGGCGGAGCCCTCAGAGACCCCTCAGAGCCCTCAGAGACCCCTCAGAGCCCTCAGAGACCCCTCAGAGCCCTCAGAGACCCCTCAGAGCCCTCAGAGACCCCTCAGAGCTGACGGGGCCCTGCAGCGCTTTGACAAGAGCCTGGAGGAGTTCTACGCCCTGTGCGACCAGCTGGAGCTGTGCCTGGTGAGAAAATACCCCAAAATATCCCAAAAATATCGCAAAAACAGCCAAAAAATACCCAAAAACCCCCTGTGCGAGCAGCTGGAGCTGTGCCTGGTGAGAAAATATCCAAAAATATCCCAAAAATATCGCAAAAACAGCCAAAAACAGCCCCAAAATCCCTAAAAATAACCCCCCAAGCCCCTTCAAATTCACCCCAAATCTCCTCTCAACCCCCCAAATCACCCCCAAACCCCCTCTAACCACCCCAAATCCCCTTTTTTTCCCCTCAGAGGCTGGCCCACGAGTGCCTGGCGCAGAGCTTCGACAGCGCCAAGCACGCCCCCGCGCTGGTGCCCGCGGCCCCCAAGGGCGAGGGGGGTCCCGGGGGGGGCTCGGAGAGCCTGCCCTACACCCAGTACCTGCCCCTGATCAAGGCGCAGATCGCCGGCGCCAAGGACATCCACAACGCCCTGCTGGAGGGCACCAATAAGATCACGGGCAAGCTGCCGCCCCCGGGGGGGCCCTGACCCCGTCTGGGGGTCCTGACCGGATTTTGGGGGGTCCTGGGTGGATTCAGGGGGGTCCTAACCGGGTTTTGGGGGGTTATGAGTGGATTTTGGCGGGTCCTGAGTGGATTCAGGGGGGTCCCGGCTGGGTTTTGAGGGGTTTGGGGTGGGTCTGGTGGGGTTTGGAGTGGCCCTGGTGGCATTTCAGGGCTCCTGATCAGACTTTGGGGGGTCCTGGCTGGATTTTGGGGGCTCTGATGGAATTTTGGGGTGTCCTGAGTGGATTTCGGGGGTCCTGATCTGATTTTGGGGGTCCGGATCAGATTTTGGAGGGTCCCGATCAGATTTTGGGGACCCTGATGGGATTTTGGGGGGTCCTGGATGTATTTGGGAGGTCCTGATCTGATTTTGGGGGTCCTGAGTGGATTTTGGGGGGTCCTGGTGGGGTTTGGGGGGTCCCGATCAGATTTTGGGGGGCTTTGATGGGATTTTGGGGCCCCGGACCCCTGGGACCCCCCCAGAGCGGTGCTGAGGGGGGGGTTGGGCTGTTTTTGGGGGTTCTGGAGGCCCCCCCCAATCCGGGTCCAGTGGTTTTAGGGTCAAACGTTGGATTTTTGGTAAATAAAGCCGAGTTTTGTTTTGTGACAGCGGCTCTTGGGCTTTTCCGCGCGTGACGTCATGGGGATGGGTGGCGGGGAACGCGGGAAAGGGTTTTTCGCCGTGACGTCACGCTGGTGACGTCACATATCCAAATAAGGAAAAATAAAACGAAACCGAAAAAAAAATAAAATCGAAAAACAGTCCCGGCGTCTTTTGGGCCTCTGGCGCCGCCGTCGGGAGGCCGCGGAGTCTCGCGAGAGGTAGGGCGGGAAGTCTCGCGAGAGCGGCGGGCGTGAGGGACGCGGAGCGGCCGCGGGGCCGGGCCGGGAACCGGGACCGGAACCGGGACAGGAACGGGACAGGAGCCGGGACAGGGGCCGGGAACCGCCGCAGGAGCCGGGCCCGGAGCGGAGAGCCGCGGGTGAGCGGGAGGGAGGCGGCGGCGGCGGCGGCGGAGCCCTCAGAGACCCCTCAGAGCCCTCAGGGACCCCTCAGAGCCCTCAGAGCCGTCAGAAACCCCTCAGTGCCGTGAGAGACCTCTCAGAGCCCTCAGGATCCCCTCAGAGCCCTCAGGGACCCCTCAGAGCCCTCAGGATCCCCTCAGAGCCCTCAGGGACCCCTCAGAGCCCTCAGGATCCCCTCAGAGCCCTCAGGATCCCCTCAGAGCCCTCAGAGACCCCTCAGAGCACTCAGGGACCCCTCAGAGCCCTCAGGATCCCCTCAGAGACCCCTCAGAGCCCTCAGGATCCCCTCAGAAACCCCTCAGTGCCCTGAGAGACCTCTCAGAGCCCCCCAGAGCCTCCCCAGACCGCTCAGAGCCCCCTCAGGACCCCCCTGGTTCTCTCAGGAGCCCCCCGAGGACCCCCCAGGACCCCGGGGTTTGGTGTTTTTTGGA